TGCATTCCACTTTCACCCTTGCTTTTCAAGATAACATGAGCATTGTAGGAGGAAACATAAGTACTTTTCTTAATCTGGGACCTATGAAATTATCTGTAAACTCTTCAGTGTATTTCCATTATTCTGGGGTTCAAAGTCCATAGCTTTCATCAATTCTCAAAGAGATATTCAATTCCCAAGAGAATGAAAGCCCAATCCATTTGTAAGGTAATTACTTTCTTTTTAATGCTGTTATTTAACTTAGATTTTTCTTTGTTTACTTTAGGATTTGGCCTAGGATTTAAGTATGAAAATTTAACTCAATTTAAAGAACAGTGTTTTAAAAATGAGACTGTCTTCCCTACATTTTTTGGCAGTACAAATTTAAAAGGGATTACAGTGACAGTAGATGGCAGTTCATTCTTGCCTACATGCATGGGATCTTGGGCTGAAAGGATAATCACCAACTGACAGAGTTCAGTACTCCACCTCCACCCAAGGGAGCAAGTTTAATTCCAAAACTCTATCAATGGTAAGCTACTCACCAGCAGCCAGTCTGTTCAGGGAAGGAGCCAATAGAGTCATTTTAGCCTCCTCCATGGTCAATATCAGCTGCTGCAGCTGAACTGATTAGGTAGGCTGACCATTTTTCTTGTTGAGGGCAAAAAATACACAGACTAATATAAACATGGTTCTTCATTTCTCATGGCCTTTGTGCACAACACATGCTTTCTAGCCTATGGATTTCATTCCTAAATTCAAGCTACACTGTCTTTAAAACTCAGCTCAAAATTGATTTCCTCCAGAAAGCCTGCCCTGATAAATCTCCTCTCAGCAATTATTATTGCATTATTCAACATCCCTTCAGTACAACTGTTCTGTAAAGACTCAAGAAGACAATCATTTTAGATAGCTGAGTTGTGTTGCCAGCTAGGCGTACACATGTTCAGTTACACCAACTTTAAAAAAATTGTATGAGGAAATCATTAACCATTTTTCCGCCTTTTAAATAGGAGTTTATGGAACAAAACTTGATCTTCCTTGATGGTGATGAATGGCTTAGCCTGAGTTCCTCAGAAGGCAGGCCCTAAGGTAAAAGCTTATATGCTATATTTTATTAAGGCAGCTCAGTACAGGGCAGATGGCAGAGCAGATAGGAGAGAGTGTTACTGAGCTGGTCACTGCTTGATATCTCAGCCTGGTGGGGCCATCTTTCCAGAGGCCATGTGCACAACTGAGCCTCAGAACATTTCCTCTGGGAGGAGGCTGGGAAAGCCTGCAGTACCAGCAACCCCCACCCCCACCCCACCAGCACACAGCAACTCCTGGACTGTGAACGTGGGTGCTGAGAGGGATTACAGGCTCCAGTGCCAACAGGGCCACCCCATGCAGGAGACGCAGACAGCACAGGCACGAGGGCCCTGCTAGGATGAGTCCACCGGAGGCAGCCAGAGCTCAGAGAGCTGCCCAGAACACACGGCCAAAAGCCCCAGCACACAGAGGTCCAGAGAGTCTGCAGTGGGGCTTAATGAGTGTCTGCGACAATGAAAGTGAGCTTTAGAAAGAGCAGGAGCTCTGAGTTTTGCCTGCAAAGTCTGTTAAGGTGTGAAGAGCTCTTAGTTTTGGCTGAGTCATTATATGACTCAATCATTAAATGAACTGAGTTCTTATATTTACTTATTAAATACTGCTGATCAATCCCTTACTTTCATATACACTGATAAACTGTCACCTCTGTTTGTGTTCCCACCTGCAGTAGCTTCTCTGAATGCATCTAACTCATTCTCTTAATCCACAGAGGGTTTGAGAACCAGAGGGCTGAGTTTGTTCTGTCTGTGTGGAAGCGGAGCATACACGGGCTCTGGGTGAGGGCTGAAGGGGGTCTCCTGTGCTAAGACCAAAAATCCAGGATTATTAGGATTGTGGCAGGTATTCATCTTTCTTTGCAGGCAGAGGATGGAATGTGGACTTTGGAGTTTAGAAGATTCCATGAAATAATGTTAATCTGGCACTGAGTATCTTACTGTGATGGTTCTTTCTGTTTATTTACAGGTTCTTTGTTTTATTCCCATTAAATTTCAGTCCAGTTAAATATTGGGTAGCTGAATTTCAAGTAGGTGAGACACCACTATAATTTTCACTACGCTATGTGTATTCGAACTGAATGGTATTGTTATAAGATTATATAACTTGTGGTTTACTTGAAGATACTGCAGTATAAACATTGTGAAGTAAGGGTATGTGCATGTATTGTAAGCACATTTGTGTTGGTTTTTTAAAAAATTTTATTTTGGTATCATTAATCTACAATTACATGAAGGACATTATGTTTACTAGGCTCCCCCCTACATCCCCATTCACAGTCACTGTCCATCAACAGCAAGATGCCATAAAATCACTACTTGTCTTCCCTGTGCTGCACAGCCCTCCCCATGCCCCCCCACACACTATACATGCTAATCATAATGCCCCCTTTCTTTTTTTCCTGCCTTTATCCCTCCCCTCCCACCTGTCCTCCCCAGTCCCTTTCCCTTTGGCAACTATCAGTTCATTCTTGGTTTCTGTGCTTCTGCTGCTGTTTTGTTCCTTCGGTTTTCTTTTGTTCTTATACTCCACATATGAGTGAAATCATTTGGTACTTGTCTTTCTCCGCCTGGCTTATTTCACTGAGCATAATACCCTCTAGCTCCATCCATGTTGTTGCGAATGGTAGGATTTGTTTTTTTCTTATGGCTGAGTAATATTCCATTGTGTAATGTACCACATCTTCTTTATCCATTCATCTACTGATGGACATTTAGGTTGCTTCCATATCTTGGCTATTGTAAATAGTGCAGCGATAAACATAGGGGTTCATCTGTCTTTTTCAAACTGGAGTGCTGCATTCTTAGGGTAAATTCCTAGAAGTGGAATTCCTGGGTCAAATGGTATTTCTATTTTGAGCATTTTGAGGAACCTCCATACTGCTTTCCACAATGGTTGAACCAACTTACATTTCCACCAGCGGTGTAGAAGGGTTCCCCTTTCTCCACAACCTCGCCAACATTTGTTTGTTTGTCTTTTGGATGGCAGCCATCCTTACTGGTGTGAGATGATATCTCACTGTGGTTTTAATTTGCATTTCTCTGATGACAAGCGATGTGGAGCATCTTTTCATGTGTCTGTTGGTCATCTGAATTTCTTCTTTAGAGAACTGTCTATTCAGCTCCTCTGCCCATTTTTTAATTGGGTTATTTGCTTTTTGTTTGTTGAGGTGTGTGAGCTCTTTATATATTTTGGATGTCAACCCTTTATCAGATCTGTCATTTATGATATATTCTCCCATACTGTAGGATGCCTTTACATGTGTGTTGGTTTTATTCTTGACCCAAATGTCATTAGTAAATGACAGTTCACTAACATTTGAAGTGTCCTAATCAGGAATCCACACTTCAGGCATGCTTAGTTAACATTTGACAAACTCTAATCATTTCATAACCCAGAGGTCCATCATGGGCCCCAACTATTTTTATCTCCAATCACCCCTACAGAGTTTGTAGTTAGAATAAGGGAAATGAATTTTCACTGGCAAAATTAGTGGTTGAAATATGTGGATCAGCTAGAAATACCATACAGGTCATCTCAGCAACACATATTCCTAATATTGGCTTCATGAAGGCTTTGCTCCATCCTGTGCCCAACGGCAGAGAGAGTTCTGTTGCTGGATTCTAACAAGGTCATAACTGCACCATGCGTCCATGCAAGAGGCTTGCAGGGGTGAACAAAAGGGCAGGAGGCAGAGCCTCACCAGCCTTAGGGATGCACTGCATGGTTGTTTTTGTCCCTAACTGCTAATTGTGGTAGAACTGGTCTGACATGGATGCTATTGTCGGGAATACCCATTGCCTACCTCCTCCTTTAACACTGGAGTTGGTCAGTTCCCAGCACACAAGGCCAAATGGGTCTCTTGTTGCACCATCTATGTTCCGTAGTCCTCTCACTGTGCCTTTGAGGGTCAGAGGCACCGTGGGTGCTGGAGGAGATGACTGCTGCTGTGATGAGCCTGTGCATGAATGGACAGGGTGCTCGCGGACCTCCCTACTTCACTGTGGGAGGCAGGACTCCAGGCTGCTGAGACGCACTTTGAGGGAACAGAACTCCACCAGTGCTTGTGTGTGTGGGGGGTGTATGTGTGTGACTTACTTCAGCAGCTGAGGGTTTCAGCAGCTGAGGGTCAGAGCATCAAACACAAGTGAACACCCCTAAGCTGGCTCCCAGCTCTCGGTTGTCTACCGCTCTCCATAAAGTAGACAGTAAACATACTCCTCAGTTCCAAAAGCATTTTGAGGGGTGCCAGGTGTTTCATTAGTCCCAATAAATGGAAAGATGAATAAGACATAGTCACAGTCCTCAAGGAACTTACAGTCTAATTAGAGATACATGCAAGTGAATCGTTTGAATGTAACACAATAAGCTTAAAGAGATGCGACCATGAGTTTATAGACCTGATGGCAAGGGGTGCTCAGCTCATTCTAGGACAATGGAGCTCAAACTCTTTGGTCTCAGGACCTTTTTACATATTTTAAATGTCTGAAAACTCCAAAGAGCTTTTGTTTATGTGAGGCATATCTATCATCATTTACTGTATGGGAAATTAAAATTAATAAATGTTTTATTGATTTGTTCAATATAAATGTTAATTTATGTTAACATAAAATCACATATACAATATAAATAATATGTAAATGCATTTGTTAACATAAAATAAATTTAAATTAATCTATTGATTAAAATAATAACAAACCTATTACATGTTAACACAAATAAGTATGTTTAAGGAAAAATTACTATTTTCCAAAACCAAATGAAAAAAGTTTTAGTGTGAAGAATGGCATCATGTTATGTAATTGGGAATCTCTTTAACTCCTCGCTTAATAGAAGCAGCTAGATTGACACCTCGGCTTCTGTAGTCAGTCTGCTGCAGTATTTTGTTTTAGTTGAAGTTGATGGAGAAAACCTGCCTCACCCAGATGTGCAGCTGGGAGCACCTCACAGATCCCCTAAAAGGGGTTTGCCTCCCACCCACTCCAGAGGGTCCTGGATTTGCTGGCCTCAGCTTCCTGGAGGTGAGTTTTGAAGAATGGGTCAGAGTCGTCTAGGGGAGAAAGAACATTCTGTGTCCTTGCTTCCATAACGATCACTGTGCATCCAGATCCCCTGGGGTCTGGGGTGGAGCTTGAATCCTGCATGCCCAACAAGCTCTAACAAGGTGACCCTGCTGCTGCTCGTCCTGAAACTGCGATGAGTGACAAGGATCCAGGCCAGAGAAATTAGCAGGGGCAAAGGCACAGTGTCAGGGGCCGGCCTGGAGTGTGAAGGGCCTGGCGGGATGCACCCAGGAAAGTACTGAGAAATGAGGTCAGCTTGCCAGGCCATGGAGGTAGCAGCTGTAACTTCTCCCAAGGCGAAGTCATGAAAAGGTTTTAAGTAGGAGACAACTCTGGCCCATAGGTAAACATAGTTTCTTATTCTGTATACCTCAGAACTGCAAAAAATATAAAACGCACAAGCAAAGTAAGTAGACAATAGGATAAAGTGGAGGAGTAAGGAAGATAATATTCCTTATGAATATTACTATGACACAGCTTAGCAGAAGGGCATGTGCTTTGGCCTGGGACAGAGTTTGCTTCAATTCCAGCTCTGCTGTTTACAAAATGATACTAACTCAACTTCCATAGTCCAGAATCCATTATATGTAAAGATACGAGATACGAGTTGTACGCCGGAGAAAGAGTCTGGTGCGTAGTACATACTTGCTATACTGAAATCAGTATGCTGAAGAATGTTACAGAAATAAAAAAATAACAACTGGAAGCTATTCTTTTTATTCTAAGATTAGAATAGAATTCTAATAGGCTTGAAACAAGATAACTGAGCTTATTAGAATTCTGTATTTTCAAGAGCAAAAAGATTTCTGAATGAGGACCTGAGGGGATTCACCTAACTCAAAGCTTTGCCTCTTTATGTGCTAGGCAGTGTCAGCTCATAGAGCTCCACAGTGATGGGGGAGGCTGGACCTGGGAGATGCTGACAACCATTAGAAGAGAAGAGGACCCAGCTCCCAGGTAATCGCCCTTTCTTTCAGGACAATGTGGACCCCAAATTTGAATGCCATAAGTGTGAGCACCCCCTTCTCTTTTCCCGGTAGTTGGTAGATAACAATGAGCAAAGGCACAAACAGCAGAGGGAAAGAATAATTGTGTTTACACAGTAAATAGAGCCATGACAGTTTAGAAAACCTTTCTGCCTGAGCACTGGCATTAGGTCTTCCCTAATTTCTATTCCTCTTTTTCTCTGAGAACACTTGTACTTCAGGATCCAGAAATCCCCTCATGACCATCTGGGATGCTGGAACTCTTACTATCTCATTCTTGCTCCTCAGTGTCACAGTCACATTTGACCTTCTGCTTTCTCCATTCATTAGAACAAATGACAGCTATCTAATCCTTTGTAAATGCAAGTTTTCATTACCTGAAAAGTCCACATTCTTAGTTGGGCAGAATTTGAAAGCCTGTTTATTTATCTTGAAAAAAGATGTACCTATATGGGTTTCTCTAAAACTCTTGATAGTTAAGATATCTGAGCAATTGTTTTTCTCTACCTTAAAAATGAAAGACAATTTTATAAGAGAAGGCTGAATGTCAGAAGAGAGAGCGCCCTTCAGCTGAGTCAATGAGCATGTTTTGACAAATCATATTATCTCAGCATGCAGATCCTTTGTATCTGTGTGACAGATTTGTTATTGTTTTATGTGAAAATAAGCAGTGTAAGGAGGAATAAAGGAAGCGGACAGGGAGGTAGTTCAAAGCCAATTTCTGACAAGGATTTCCTCAGGCAATTTCTTAGGTCTTTCACTGGAATTCATCCTTTTTAATCTTTGTAATTTCAGTATTTTAGACTAAGAATTTGATTTTTTTGAGGTATGCTCCTCAGGAAGGGACTATTAGCCTATACTCTCATTTACTCATTCATTCATTTAAAAATTTTCTGAATCTATGAAAGTATTTCTTTAACAAAAGCAAGTAAGGAGGAAGGTGAATTTCTAATTTCTGAGGCCGGTGAAGTCAACTATGGCGATGGCAGCTCCCTGCTGAGCCCTGGGCTCGTGGCAGCATGCCTCGGGGCGGTGACCTTGGTGACATCCTCTCCAGCTGCGGCGCCCAGTGACATTTTGCAAAAATTCTGGGCAACTTGACAATTCCTACTATTCACCTGGGAAATCTAGGGAGGTAAAATAATATCTCTGGGCATTCAGTCCGTGTCCTTCTCACTGGGATAAAAATTCAGTGATTCCTGTCGACAATAACAGCAAAAATTACAAACTGTCAAGGAAGAAACCAAAAAGAAACATACAAGATCTATATTTAGAAAACTATAAACATTTACTGAAGGATGTAATAGAAGTTGTAACAAAGGGACAGATTGTTCCTAGAGAATGAGAGCATGGGGAGCAGGCCCTCATCCTGCCAGTTATAAAGAACTACCACTTCCATGCAGGCCACCTCGTTCTCCTCTTCTCTCCATTAATATGGATTCTCTCAGCTCTTAATAGAATCATCTACTACAGTGTTACTTTCAAATAGACTTGGACATCTCTGGCTCTTTTACAATCATGTGTCTTTTCTTCCCAATTAAAGGATAAGGTTAATAAAAGCAAGGACTAGCTCTTCCCTTCTCTTTGTATCTTCAGTATCCCTTAGCACAGAAATGCCTCTATTTACAACTTTCCTAATTACAGAAGTTCGCAGATATGCACAAAGCAGGGTGAAAAAGGGTATCACTTCTGCTCATCATCGCCAGATGGTTTTGGCAACCCTAAGCAATCATTCCACCACACAGTGTATGCTATCAGGATATGTTAGCTGGATTTGTGTGTAGTGCTGAGATACATTTTGAACATTAGTAACATCATCGGTTAGAAAGTGCCAAAGTAGAGAGTACATTTAAAATGCTGCAAAAAAGAGACACGATTATGATGGAAACAAAAGTAGAAATAATTTTTCAAAACTGGAAGTGGTGAGAGAATGCCAAATGTTGCAGGGTGCTCAGCACAGCAGGATGATTTCTTAAAGTCAAAGACCTAATAATGATCAAAAGGGAAGGAGCAGGGATTGGCGAATGAGAAAGGCAACCTTTTGAGATTGTGGCTAGATGTTAGCAGCAGTGGACAGCGTTCCCTGGCCCGAACTGTATCATGCTGGTGAAGGCACGAGTTCATGAGTGAACTTGAGCCTAAGCACAGTGAAGAGCTGTTGAAGAGTCTCTGTATTGCTAAAGTTGCTGGCTCAGGGTCCATCCAAACCTGCAAAACAGTGGATGGCTGGCACCGTAAAACATCAGCAAAATATCAGATGTGGAACATGACAGTACTGTAGACAGAAGAGGTCCGGGTGAAAATGTTGACTGAAATGTAAACAAGAGAAGAGTATTAATGGTTTTAAAGCTTCGAATGGCCTGCTTATGCTTTTTTTCATTTATGGAAATGCACCTGGAGTCTGGTAGCTTATGCCTCTCTTAGTCACTTTGAACTTAGGAAAAGAATGGATTTATGAACAGAGTTTAGAACCAAAGGTCTTCATAAATGGAATAGCTTCCATAAGTGCTGTATGTGTGGCTAGTTACACAAATATTTATAGCACATTTCCTCTGTGATGGACACTTTCACACACAGTAACTAGTTTATTCACTCAATTCTTTTGTCAGGTAGATATCACCACTATCACCATTTTACAGGTGTGGAAGCAGAATCTCAGAGAATGGCAACAGTGGGATCTTTTGATTCCAAGATAATATTTCACTTCTCCATAGCTGTCTCCTTGTGTTAATTGAATGAATAAATAACCCTATGCTAACATACATTATTATTCTACCTATACTTTACTGTTTTTAAAAAGGTTTGGTGTTTGGAGGCCCATCTGTTACCTTATATAACATTACCAATATGTATAATATATATAATGTCATCACTGTTACTTTATATAACATCAGCAAGTCCCACCATTGTGTGTCTGCCTTCTGACCTTCAAAATACCTCCATGGACACAGAAGGGGCATGAAATGTCAAGGAGCTCTTTGTGGAGTGGTTTCAGTGAGTATATCTGAAACCAAACAGCACACTCCAGGAAGGGTTACTTTTCAATAAGTATCCTTGATGGAGTTCACCAAGCATCCTGTGGTTCTGCTTTGCTGTTGAGGGCCCGTCCTTGTTTCTGCACATCCTTTGTACCAATAAAGAACAGAAAAAAATGACTGAGAATTCTACCCAGGTTTGTTCAGCAAGGATTTAATTTCTGCAGTGCTCCTGTGTAAATTGTGCCAGTAACAAAACCTTGTATCTCCCAATCTAATCATTCCATGACACATTCAATAGGATATAACATGGTTGAGATGGAGACTGAAGGATTAGAAGAAATTATGTCAATGGATAAACTCTATGGGAGCTCTGATATGACAGCCTAGATATGACTAATCTAAATATTCATTTTGGGTAATGGAACAGCTATCAACAAATTCATTAGTTAAGACAATATTTTCACTTCAACTGTCAGCAGCAAGGGGGTCTCCATAATACACTGCCATCAGCAGTTTGTATCAGTATGAGAGAAAATGTACTTGAATTTCACAAATATGTATGAATCACACTCTTTCAATTTTAAAAATGGGGCTCAGTCTCATTCAAAATCTCACAAAACAGCTGTCTCAGGGATATTAAGCTCGAAAATCATTTTATGGCAAGAACTACAAGTTGGACAGTAAGTAATGGATTTTTTTCCAGTTAACCAATCTATTTCTTACTTTAAGTATAAGCATTTGTGGCTTCAGATGCTCCCTGTTTAAAGAACTACTCCTATATTACCCTTTTTCTAACTTAGAAGTAGCTGGATTCCTTAGAAAGAGAGTCTTCCATGAAGCAAACCAGCACTAAAGTAACTATTATTACCAATGGAGTAATATATGCCAGTTCAGTGTACTGGGGAGAGTAAGAACAAGAACTATGTAACATGCCCCATGTGTTAATTTGCCTGTCTAGACCCCAGATTCATTTGTGACTCTCCTACCTTCTTCTTCCATGAGAGGCAGGAGGATTCTGGGTAGGAAAGTAGGCTTTATCATCTCACTTTGCCAGGTCTTTCTCTTTAACAAAAAGGGAGGAGAGAGATGAAGAGATGGTATCTTTGTCCTTAGCCAATGATACAGCTAGAGTTTGGAGGAGGAAAATAACTGTCTGTCTCCCTTTAAAAGGCAAATGGTCACAAACATATGAAAGCATGTTAGGCCTCACTAGTAATCAAAGATTTACAAGTTCATTATGACAATGAGTATCAAAAGCTGAAAGCTTTACATATTATTTAACTCAGCAATTTTGATTTTAGCTAAAAGGAAGTACCATAGCCATGGTCAAACATTCACGCACAGAGTTGTTCATCACAGCACTGCTTTAATGAGTTTTAAAAAGGGGCTGAAAATCCTTCAGTGTTCATCAGAAATAATGACACCTCCTTACAATGAAATATTAACCAGGCATTAAAACTGGGAAGATGTCATAATATTTTATTAGATGAAAACTACAATTATTATTTTATAATGCAGAGTTCTGCTTCCACTTAGGATATATAAAGTCAGAAGAGAATATTGTTCCCATCAGGACAATGAAACAAAGCTGGGTAGTATACAAAATAATAATTTTTCTTGAGCTCATCAGAGAGTTGAGGCCACAAGGCAATGAAGTAAATTGAACTCCAAAGAGCAATAAGCCCATCCATGAACTGTTACCCTTTTGGCAGAGCACAAGAAAAAGAGGTGGCCACCATATTAATAGATAAGAAGAAATCAGTTAAAAATTTAACAAATCCTTAAAGGCCATACAACTGTGGGTTAGTGTGTCAATATGGAATAGCTTAGAGCCCATACACAAGGAAATTTGCACCCACCATCTGACTTTTCTGCAGGCCTCCACTGGGTATTTACAAGAAAAGTTAGAGGTAAAGTAGGAGACTGGAGAGACACCCCCACCATTGCATAGGCATGCAGAATATGACCAGCTGCTTCTAGGAGACAAGCACAG